TTTGCTGGCTGTAGCAGCGCTATAGCGCTGCTATAGCGCTGCACAGCAAAAACGCATAAAAAACACATAAAATCGAGTCGGCAATGCTGTGAGAGGCAAAAAATTCAAGAGCTCGCACAGCTGGACGTGCCAAAGGCTGCGACAAGGATGCTCAAAATGGCCACTTACTTGAATGACCGCAACAAGAATCACTGCAACGGCTACGTAAGTCATATTCTGTGAAAGATAATTTTCAATTTTCGGAGTACATCCTTCACCGTGTATCGCATCACTCAAACCCTGCAACATTCTTCAGTATTTTGACTAGCCCAGTCGACTCACGTATGTGTGTCACTTAAGCAACTGACAACTCCTCTTCACAGCTGCCGAGATCACAGCCGCTGCACCACCAGGCGCTCAATCTGCTGTTGACGAATCTGGTATTCGTTTCATTGCCCTTCATTCCGTTCTTGCTATGCACTCTACCCAGTGGCCTTTTAAATTACATGTAGGAAAAGGCACGTTCACCTCAACATAAAGGAAAAAAACGTGAAACAAATTACAAGTTCCCTGCACGATCTACGTGTTACCAAAACATCTATCAGAGGTCGCCCTTTTCTGCCGAATTCTTGAACGATCGCATCATAGATTCCTAATGGATCGTATCGCAGATTCTGCTTGAACGGAGCATCCATTGGACAGAATATACCGACTGCTGTATTTCAAAGAGCTCGAAAGATGCAGAATGTTCGGATGCTTCAAGAACTTATAAATTTCAACAGCAATACAAAAAGTACCTCCTTAAAGAGTCGAGCGCCATGTCCGCAAAAAAAATTGATCGGTCCACCGTCGACACCGCGCATTTTCTTACAGCATGAATACGGTACACCGCCGGCTTCAGGAGATGAAAATTGCTGGGACGACTTATTGAAATAGATGTTCATATCCCAGTCATTCGGCGACCTCATGCCACAACACTTGAAATAAATTTGAACCCAGTCAATGAGCGCTTGCAAATCGGGATCATCCCGGTACATGATCACCTGAAATTTACCCTTATGCTACAGCACATACTCCAAGCACAACTCATGCGAACACTGCCAAGTCTGTAAACATAGGAACTATATGCACAGCAAACGTACCAAACTACGCTGACTACAATTTTTGTGCGTTTTGTGCTGTGTAACAGCGTTACAAAACGCATATTGTCACGGGGTTGTCTGTCTGTTTGTGTGTGTGTGTGTGTCCCACATTTTGTCCCGCACTTTCAACTCGGGAACCACAAAAGCTAGGCGGCTGAAATTTTAATATAGTGTTCCTCGCGAACGGGCGACGCAGCAAATTTAAATTCAGCCTTCCTGTACCCGCGGGTAACACGTACGGCCCCGTGAAAGTTTTTTACGGGTAAATTAATATTTCAGGAACCACGGAGTCTAGGAAGCTGAAATTTTAGGGTAATGACTCCCTGCTCACGTTCAATCCTGCTCATTCAAATTCAGCCTTCGCGTACCCGCGGGTAACACGTATGGCCACGTGGAAGTTTTTTACGGGCAAATTAATATCTTAGGAACCACGAAGTTTAGGAGGCTGAAATTTTAAGGTAATGACCCCCTGCCCACGCTCAACCTTGCCTATTCAAATTCAGCCTTCTCGTACCCACGGGTAACACGTACGTCCCTGTGAAATTTTTTTACGGATAAATTATTATCTCGGGGACCACAGGGTCCAGGAAGCTGAAATTTTAGGGTAATAACCCCCTGCCCACGCTCAAACTTGCCCATTCAAATTCAGCACTCCCTCGCCCTTGAGTATCACCTACGGCCTCGTGAGAATTTTGGCGGTCAAACTATTAACTCGGGAATCAGGGAAAGATATTCACCCTTCAAGGTTTCGAATTCAGCTTTCATACGTGCGTGCGTAAAATTTTTAACTATTTTCCAATGTCTGAACTATTTTTGCATAGACAAAAGTACAAAGCAGTGAAAATCATTAATAGGCAATCATCCGATGGGCTGAATCGCACAAAACGCATGACCGCACCGGCTAGTCTGGTGCGCGTTGCTATTTATTATTTTAAAAACGCCTATAAATGGAGCACCACTGCCACCGTTCACCAGTTCTTTAGCCGCAGTTCCAGGCTGAGCTTTGCCTCGGCCATCAGCAGCCATAGCAGCGGATGCCAGAGGCGCCTGAATGTCCCTATGCGCAATTATTAATGCTTTATGGGCTAGTCATCACGTTTTTATGCGTTTTTGCATATATGCAAATTGCAAAAACGCATATTGGGAAGAGGCTGTCTGTGTGTCTGTGTCTGTGTGCGTGTGTGTGTGTGTGTCTGTGTGTTCGCACTTTTTGTCACCCACTTTCAACTCCAGACCCAGAAAA